TTAATGTAAGTTTTACATGACAAGGGAGCCTTCATAAGGAAATGAGGACCCAAAAAAATGGTTACATGTAAGGTTTGATGAAAAACAGAAAGTCACGGGAAAATGTGGTAAGACAAAAGAGTATGAGCTAAGCATAGTAAACTGGGGGACACTTAGCATGGCTGTTCATTCAGATTCATCTTGGTGTTCCTCTGTCTTTTGAGATAAGGACGTTCCTTTCCTCTGGTATAAGGAAGCCACCTCTCATATGAGGATCTTATAATCTGTTTTAGGGGAGAAGGTCACAGAGTCATTCTCGCACCTGCCATTTTTCAAATTCCTTCAACTATATTTTGGGAGGAGTATGTCCTGAACGCCATCAGTTGTTATCATCTTTTTACAAAAGGTGGTAATGTGAGTGAATATGCTGCTTTATAAAATGGGAGAAGATGGAAAGGGCTTTAAGACTAAGGTTGAAAACTTTAAGGATCAAAATGCCATATTCCTGAAGCAAAAAGAAAAGTCAAAGAGCATCAGTTTCTTGTAAAATAATTTTGAATGAGAATAAAATGCACTAGTAGGGAGAGACTGAAGTCAGATAGGCTAAACACACAGAATCAAGGAAGTTTATGTTGTGTTTGGGAAATGTGACCAGGCAATTAAAGAAATAACTTAATGATAAGAGAAAATAGAAGTAGAAAGTATAACTGTAGGGATGGAAAAAAATTATTTTCCTTCTACCTAAGTTCTCGTTTGAGACCCCTGTAACAAAAGACAGATTAACAAGAGAAAAACAAGTAAGTTAATTAACATGTGTATCACACATATAATAAATACGTGGGACCACCTGGAAGTGAGTAGCTCAAAGAGGTGGCTTAGAACTCCAGTTTATATAGCGTCTTCAGCAAAGAACAACAACTATTTAAATAAGTTATAACGGAAAGGAAAGGACTTGTGTCCCAAGGGGCAGCAAATTGTAGGAAGGCAAATATGTGGAAAACTAATGGTAGATGAAGGCTAGTTGGTAAAATGTGTTACGTAGCTTCCTCTGGAGCTATCTCCAGGCTCCTTAGGGACTCAAGTTGTATCCAGTGATTAGCTTTTATCCCTTTTTGGCAGAGAGGGGAGAATGAATACCTTTGTAAATGTATGTACTGCTTTTAGCGGGAGATAAGAGAGCTTTTCTTGTAACTGCTTTTTCCGAACTGGCTTCAGTTTGAAATAATCCTTATGCCCAAATTGCTTATTTTGGCATGGCACATTTTGCAACCCTTTATAATCTACTCAACACATTCTTCTTTCTCTGCTTCTGAAACCATGCCTCAAAGAGTTAAAGAAACCAATGATAAACAGAAATTCTTGAGTTTGCAGGATGGCAGATTAAAAAAGAAACAACTTAATGAAACTCCCTCTGCTTATGAGATAAAAGAACTAGCTGACATCAGTTGGAACCAATGTGGTTGACTGGAGTCTGCACAGAACGAGCTTGCTGATGTCACAGTCTGAAATTCCACTGCATGTTTCATACGATCCCAGAATTGCATATGCAACTTACAGCATGAAGAGATAACTGCTCAAGGACTTTGCAGATCTCCCCTTTCCTTTCACCAATCACCTATTAATCTCAGAATTCCCCCTCCCCCATCACTTTCTAAAAATACTGCTTTGAAGCCAGCCTGGAAGACAGATTTTAGCTTGACACTCCTGTCTCCTTGTGAGTCAACTTGCAATATAAAGCTTTTCTTTTCACAAAAACCCAATGTCATAGTATTGACTTCTAGCATAAGGCAACAAGCCCCTTTTATTCAATAACACTCCAAACTTCACTTCTCTTTAATTTGCTTGGAATACTGAAATACTGTTTTTCTTCTTGAAGATACAAACAACTCCCCCTGATAAAACCCATCACTGAAAAGGCATGCTCTTGTCAATACTATTCAACTATGGAAAATAAATACTGATAAGGTGATAATCATACAATATAGTATTTTATATATACTAAATTATATATATACATATTAAGTTCTATTTTTTTCAATATCCAAGTAACTCTTACATTTTTGTCTCTAAAAATCTAAAAGAAAGAATCTTCTGAAGTCCCTAAAGCTCTACTGCAAGAATTTCTAGCCGTTTGAGAATTATTTGCAGCTAAGGGACTCTTGAAGGTATTCTGTCAGGCAGGAAATGTAACACTAATCACAGTATAAAATTGAGTTTTACTGCTAAGTAACATAAATGACAATCCTATATTTTAAGAGATATTGTATGATATGTCTCTCAAAATATGTGACCTTGTGCACATGCACTAATGTCAGAGGTGTTTGAAACAGAGCAACTCCATTTTGAATAGGGGCTGGGTAAACTAAGGCTCAGTACTGCCGGGCGGCATTCCCAGTAGATTAGGCAATCTAAGTCACAGGATGAGATAGGAGGTCAGCACAAGATACAGGTGATAAAGATCATGCTGATGAAACAGCCTTCAGTAAACAAGTTGGCTAAACCCACCAAAACCAAGACAGTGATCAGAGTGACCTCTGGTCATCCTCGCTGCTATACTCCCACCAGTGCCATGACAATTTACCTATGCCATGGCAACGTCAGTAAGTTACTCTATATGGTCTAAAAAGGGGAGGCATGAATAATCCACTCCTTGTTTAGCATATAGTCAAGAAATAACCATAAAAATAGGCAACCGGCAGCCCTTGGGGACTGCTCTGCCTATGGAGTAGCCATTCTTTTACTCCTTTACTTTCTTAATAAATTTGCTTTCACTCTACTCTATGGACTTGCCTCAAATTCTTTCTTGTGTGAGATCCAAGAACCCTCTCTTGGGATCTGAATTGGGACCTCTTTCTGGTAATACTAACATGATACAATTAAAAGTGTGTATTAGTAAATTACCTAACTATTGCTTATTTATTCATACATACATATTTGCACATAAGTAAATGGCACCACTTTATTATGAATAGTGTGGTAGTACCAAGTGGTTAAGATAGAATTAGTAGCTAACACTAGACTTTCCTTGAAGATACAGACAATGCTTAGTGGGTGTGAAGTAACTTTTTACCTCTAATTGCCATTGAGAGAAGGAAAGAAGAACCTGGGTAACACCGAAATGGGAATGCAGATTTGGTCCTTTGGCCTTTCCTTCATAAATATGTTTTCTGAGTTTCTTTAACTGCCTGAGGACAAGGGGCTTGAGTACATGATGTTTAAAAACAGTGTTTTTCAAACTTGTCTGCACATTGGATTCAACAGCGAAACTTGAAAAAATACTTAGGCCTGTATCCCACTCCAAAGGTTATAATTTAATTCGTCTGGGGTGTGACCTAACCTTTGGAATTTTTATAAGACCACCAGGTGCTTCCAATATGCAAACAAGTTTGGGGACCACATTTTAAGGTAATTTTCAGTTCTATGTCTGTGATTAGGAAAAGTATCCGGAGACATTCCAAATCTAAAACGGAATCACTATTAGGGATTTAAAAGCAAAACAAAATAAAAAACTAGGGAAAATCAAAGGACATATGTCATTATAAAACACGGCAGAATTTTTTAAATTATGACAAATTGGGCAATTTGTTAGCAATTATGGCAATACTGAACTTCCCTACTGTCTATATGTAAAAAAGAGGTGTTCTATCATTTGTCTTTGTGGTTTTGTTACAAGAAAGGTGTCCTGATCCAGACTCCAAGAGAGGGTTCTTGGATCTTGCACAAGAAAGAATTCAGGGCAAATCCACAGTGCAAAGTGTAAGCAAGTTTTTTAAGAAAGTAAATTTCTAATTTTTCCTAAATTAGAAAAATATAATTTTAGTAGTCATGTGGTCCTCAGTTTATAAGTAAGCCATAAAAGAATGGCTACTCCATAGACAGAGTAGCCCGAGGGGTGCTGGTTGCCCATTTTTATGGTTGTTTCTTGATTATATGCTAAACTAGGGGTGTATTATTCATGCTTCCCCTTTTTAGACCATATAGGGTAACTTGCTGATGTCGCCATGGTATTTGTAAACTGTCATGGCACTGGTGCAAGTGTAGTAGTGAAGACAACCAGAGATCCCTCTTGTGGCCGCCTTGGTTTTGGTGGGTTTTGGCCGACTCCTCTACCACAACCTGTTTTATCAGCAAGGTCTTTAAGACCTGTGTTTTGTACTGACCTATGTCATCTTGTGACTTAGAATGCCTTAACCATCTGGAAATGCAGCCCGGTAGGTTTCAGCCTCATTTTACCCAGCTCCTATTTAAGATGGAGTTGCTCTGGTTCACACGCCTCTGACAGTTTTACTGATGTGTTTCAAGTGCATATATGAATGTACAGCCAGGGGTAAGAGAAAGAAGCATTATAGATTTTTAGTATCCTCCTGTTGCTGTTCACTAGGGGTACATATCTTAAGATTAGGAATCTGTAGAGCTATAACTTTAAAGAACTAATTTTTAACCACCTTTCAATTAAAGTTAGTACAATGACTTTGCATAATACATACATAAAATAATTAGTGAAGATGGTTCTTAATTTAAAGGATGTTAAACAGCTTGTAGACATCTGGTAACAAGCTGAAATGGGTCATTCAAAATTTATCTAACTAAATTAAGGGGGAAAATTGTTTCTCCTCCCAGGTTGGCATGTCACAAGATAACTAAACCAACTTAGTAGGCTTGCCTGGGAATCCTTAGCTGTCAGTGGTGAATATGCAAAGGGCCAGCAAATTAAATCAACCTGCCAAACTGTCAATTTCAAGCCTCATGACTGCATGAAAATAGCATCACTGGAAGAAATCAAGCATTGCCTTCTTTTGGGTTTCCTGGCACCTATTCAAATACTCATGCAGTTGTGGCTAATTTTGCATGCAAATTTCAGTCAATAAGCTCAGAACAAGACCTCCCAAGATATTTCAAAGGATCTGACAGTATTTTTTCTGAATACCAAATCGACAGTAGTTGAAATTCAATCTCCATTTGCTAGTGCTTTACATATGCACAGTGTCCCCACCACAGAGCTAAGTTAATGAGAGCCTTACCTGCTTTCACTCACATCCTCCCAGCCGTCCTTGCTGAGGTTCTCAAACACATTGCTCATAACCTTGATGGAGTGATTGAGAACAGTGTGGTGACGACCCACAGAGCAATTTTTCTTGGCAGCTTTAAATTTAACCTTGGTCATAGTTGTCTTACAATCATATCGTCCAGATCTCACTTTCGTGGTAGCCGTCTCGGATTTAGCTTTGTCTGCTGACTGGTGTGATTTCTCCATTGGGTTGATCAGCTCTTCATTTTCATTTCTCAATGCATTAGCTTCTGCCACTTGTCTCTTCAGGAAAGTGACTTCTCTCTCCAGCTCACTGATTTTTACTTGAAGTTCAGTATTTTCTTTTTCTACATCTTTACTCCCCTTTATTATCTGTTCTAGCTCTTTTTCTCTGGTCTCAGTATCTTCTTGTTGCTGTTTTAAGAGGGATTTCAGAAAATCATTTTCTTTCATTAATTTTTTATTCCCTTCTTTTAATTTTCTCGACCTTTTCTCAAAAGATTTCAGCCGATTTTCCAACTCAATGACCTAAAAAGAAAAGTTTATTCTTTCAAGAATCCAAAACCATAATCTACTATACTTTATTATCATTTCTAACTTATGAAATAAAAATTACATTTAGCACAAGGACAAAACAAATCTAAAGTACTTAATTTCTAGATAATTCTAAGGCGGTATAGATGAATACATTCAAAAATGCAATAATATATCTGTTGAATAAAGGACAGATGGTAAAAGAAGGTAAAATTCTACACAGTGACAGAACTAAGTATGCTAATAAACTGCAGTGTCTTCTGAGATCATAAGTGCCGTGGCTATATATTCTATTCATTGTGGAAAAAATATTACAGAGAAAAATAACATACACAAAAAGGCAAAAAGTAGACACATAAACTGTATTAATAAATAAACTTTTTTCAATATTCAACAATCACATGAAAAAGGAATAACAATACAAAGTAATCTACTGAGGCTGCTTTTTTCCTAAATTAGAAAAATGTAATTTTAGTAGTCATGTGGTCCTCAGTTTATGTGATAAAGGAACAGTTTACCAAAATAATAAAGTCTAGCAATTTTAAATTACAATGATTTCAAGATTGCATATAAATTAAAATTTTACCATTTATTTCAATAAACAATGCTTGTGTTGTAGGACATAGCAATGATAACACACACTTCCTAATCTTAAGGAATTTCAAAATCATTTGGAAAGAGAGATATTTGCATAAATAAACCTAATAAAGGATATAATCTAAGTGTCATAAGTGTGGGCAATTAATTCCAATTCTTAAGTTCAAATATTTCATGGAGGAGTTGACTTACATTTAGATCTTATTAATAATAAGCATTATTGTTTGTAAAGTACATTCTACTATTTACAAAATAGTTTCAAAAACACGATCAACATGATCGCTTCTGGCCATCTCAAAACATGAGGTATGTGGAACTAACAATTATCTTTCCAGACAGGAAAAAGAGGTTCTGAAAACTTAAATTTCACAGAGGTAAACCTTTCTGGGATTGAACTGGGATCCAAATTCAGGATTTTGTGCCCCTCCCACTATTCAACAAGGCATATGAGAAAGAAGAATTACTCAGATATGTATGGAAAATGAACAAAGATTTGGACTCAAGAAAAAACTGGAGACAAGCAAAACAATCTAAATGACTGAAAAAGTATATGAACTCATTTTTACTTGTAAAACAAAATTCTTCAGAGAATTTGATACACTGACAACTCCAATGATCTGACTACTTTTGTCCCTCACAAAATTCATTATGTTGAAACCTGATCACTAGTGTGATGGCATGATGAGGTGGAGCCTTTGGAAGGTGACTGGATCATGAGGGTGGGGCCCTCATGAATGGGATTAGTGGTATTAAAAGAGACCTCAAGGTGAGGACACAGCAAGAAGGCACCATCTACGAACCAGAAAGAGAGATCTTACAAGACACTGAATCTTGGATCTTGGACAGTTGGATCTTGGACAACAAGTTTCTATTGTTTATAATCCTCTCAGTTTTAGTATTTTTTACAGCCAACTGAAGAGACTAAGACAATAACCAATGATTCAAAATAATAATATTCCAGAAATATACAAGATAAAACATACATATTCTTAACACCTTCCAGTTTACGAAACTTTATTTATAATAGTGAAGATGTAAATTGTTTCCTAAACATGAGTTTCAGTCATGTCTGATTTACATATCCTTCTATATTATCTTTTTTTTTTTTTTTTAACGTTCAACCCCTTTCATTTAAATCAACATTAATTTACTAAGTGACTATACTATCCTGGGGCATGGGTATTTCTCAACACAGTATGAAGAATCTCACCTAATTTCAATCACTTCTATTCCATGGTATGATATATTAACCTACTATTGGACATATGTCCTTAAAGGACCTACTCATGACCTGGAATAAAGGTATTTGAAAAATTTTGTCTCAAACTATTGTAGACTTCTGCATATTTCTGTGAAAGAGATTGTATTGTTCCTTCTCAATGTGAACACTTTACTGGGGAGCTGATTAATGTGACAAAAAATACAGTGTTCAAGAAAAAAATCTATGCCAGAATCCTTTTCACTTTTTCCAAATCACTCTACTTCTAAATTTTATTAAAGGATTTTAATCACTGCCCAAATCAGTATACTTTTCATAAATATATTTTAAAATACTTTTGCATATTAGATTCCAAAGGGGAGTGAGTAAAATGTACTGTATTCTTTAAATACATATTTGATGCAAGTAAACAATTACACTTTCTTTGAGTCAAGATCTCACTTTATTGCCCAGGCTGGAGTGCAGTGGCCCGATCATGGTTCACTTCAGCCTTGACCTCCTGGGCTCAAGTGATCCTCCCACCTTAGCCTCCAAAGGAGCTGGGACCAGAGGCATGTACCATCACAGCTGGCTAACTTTTTATTTTTTGTAGAGACAGGGTCTCATTGTGTTGCCTTGACTGGTCCATACTTTTTTTTAAAAAGTGACTTTGGTGATACAAAAATATTAATAAGAAGCAGTGTGTTTTAGGGGAAATAGAATTTTGAATCAGGTCTATATCTCACTTCCAACTCTACTTGCTTTAGTTGGTAAAATATTAAAGGTATTTTACCTTTAGTTTCCTCATCTGTGAAATGAGGATAGTAATACCTATACCTTACAGTTTTGTTGGGAGTATTAAATGTGATCATAAACCATAATTCCTGACAGACAGTAAGTAGTAAACAATTTACTATCATTATCATTATTACTGTTTCTATTATCATTCACCTTAACATCTACCTAATAAAACTGCTGTAACTAAAATATAATTACTTGTGATGAATATTCTGAATTAGCCATTAAATCAGCTGTATATTTCAATTCAATTAAAATATGTTACAAATAAATATAACTAATAAACATCTTAAATTTGAGATTCCAATTCTGGAAATTAGCATTTTTTTTCTTTTGACTAAAATCCACTTAAGTTTGGGGACAACTCATTAACATTTTACTACGTTGGGGCTCAGAACACAACACACCAAAATATGCCACTTTGGCTTGCCAAGTACCTTGAATTGAAGGTCACTGGAAGTGCCTCAGAAGCAAGATCTCCTGCCCTCCTGTCACCCGTCCCATTTTCTCCCATAAAGTAAGTCACATCAAACATAATTCCTCTTCCCTAAGGCAGGTCATACAAACTAGAACTCTTCTCCCCAAAAGCAAGCCGTAAAACCAAGAAAGGTAACTTTCTCCCTTCTCAGTTCTCCCTTGAAGACTTTCATTCCAGAGGGGTCCTGTCCCATACCCGGGAAGGAAGGAAGTCTACACAGAGGGCAAGAAGAATCTGAGCAGATAGGCTTTGCTTGGTTTGCCCCTCCTTAGCCTATTACCATAGACATACCCTTTTGTATAGATACATTTCTACATGGCTATCCTTTCTTTATTGAACCTAAGCGCATAAGCAGACAGTTTTCTCTGGGTCTTTGTTTTTGAAGCCTCGTGTGGCACATAAAACTTTGATTAAATAAATGTTATGTATTTCTCGTGCTAAACTGCCTTTTATTATAGGAGTGTCAACTGTGGCCCTTATGATAGATGAGGAAAGATGCTACAACTTTCCACCTCTATATACATACCAATTGAAGATGTCTGTGGTTTTAAGGTCTGTTAACTGCATAATGTGAATGTATGTTTAATCATGAGAACTGGTCAAAATTATTTGAGTTTAAAATGGAGGACAAATAACAAAACAGAGACACTACTTCTAAACATTTTGAAAAGGGAAAATCCATAGCACTTATTAAAGTGTTATTCAAGGTATACTCAAAAATTGTTAAACTGATTTTAATCCTTCAAAAATAGAAAAGTAAATTTTAATACATATTTGAGAATGAAAGTCTGGGGAACTGTTAAAAGTATTCAATTTGTGGATTATAATTCAGCTCAAGTCCACGTTTTCTTATAGTATTGAACATTTAAAATAATATACCAAATAGATGGCTCTTTTCAGGCCAGGTGCGGTGGCTCATGCCTGTAATCCCAGCACTTTGAGAGGCTGAGACAGGCGGATTACTTGAACCCAGGAGTTCAAGACCAGCCTGGCCAACATGGTGAAACCCCACCTCTACAAAAAACACAAATATTACCCAGGCATGGTGGCACACGCCTGTAGTCCCAGTTACTTGGGAGACTGAGGCACGAGAATTGCTTGAACCTGGGAGGCGGAGGTTGCAGTGAGCCAGCATTGCCCACTGCACTCCATCCTGGGCGACAGAGCAAGACCCTGTCCCCCCCGCCAAAAAAAAAAAAGAGGCTCTTTCCAAAACTGAAATAAAATACCCGACATTATGAAGCTATGAAGAGTGTAGTTTGCTAGGTTTGCCATAACAAAGTATAACAGAGTAGGTGACTTAAACAACAGAAATTTATTTTCTCACATTCCTGGAGTCTAGAAGTCCAAGATCAAGGTGTCAGCAGGGTTGGTTTCTTCTGAGGCCTTTCTCCTTGGCTTGTAAATGGCTATCTTTTCCCTGTGTCTTCACATGGACTTCCCTCTGTATTTGTCTGTATTCTAATTTCCTTTTTTTAAATAAAGACACCAGTCATGTTGAATTAGGGCTGACCCTAATAGCCTTATTTTAACTTAATTACCTCTTTAAGGACCCTATCTCCAAATGAATGTAAACATTCTGAGATAATACAGCTTAGGACTCTTAATATATATAAATATGGGGGGTAGATCAGAATTCTGCCAATAACAATGTGAAATGTTAATATATTATTTTTAAAATAATCTGCTCATATGTTTCATTTCTACTGTATACAAATATTGTTTTCACCTTATTACTGTTTTTTAAATTTATTTTGAGTGAGTTTCATATATAACCTTTTAAAATAATGAAACTCAAACATGAGGAATTAACTTGTGATTGATAAAACTACATTAGGTAAATATAAAAAATAGTATACTAATGAAAATAATTTATATTGGTTGTTCAGGTCTTAAAATGGATGTCTGGATCTACTATTGTAGCATTCATTTATGGCAGATGGAATGAAATATGGCTTTCTTTAGGGTTTCTACCGTAAGGCAAGAAAAAGTAGCATAGTATTACATATCCATAGATACAAAAATCATATAAAACCTGGCAAATAAAAATACTATTCTGAAAAAAAGATGATAAGCTAGTGTGAACTGTATGACATCCTACCTGGTAGTGCATAGATTAATTCAATTAATCATTTTACCTAAAGACAAATAAATGTAAGCATTTCTAGTTCTCTGTGTTACTGTTAACTTGATATGTGTCATTCAGTAATAATGAGATGACAGCCTTTGTGACCTGACAAGTTGTTAGAAGTATGAACAATCACATCATCTGCTGTAAATCACTAGATTTCCTACAAGTCAATTCAGAGATGTAATGAAATATAAGCAACTATGTTAATATTTTTGTTTATATATTTGTACATTTTCAGAGTTATCTAAGTATTAAGGTTTTGTAAAAAACTAAAATCAATCTAATGCAGCCAAATGACAATCACTTACAAGAACAAACTATTTAAAGATTATTTTCTTTATAACAAAGTGTTAATAATTAGATCCACTTAACTGAACTTGATAACAATGTATTTACTTATAAAAATACAAATTAAGTATAAAATTATAAAAGTAAATGTTAATATTTTAAAATGGTATTTTACTATTAATGATAGACATGTTATAACATGACTATAAGGTTTACATGGATGGTCTTACTAAAACATAAAAAGCTGTACTAAATTATATTGGTATAATTTTTTATCTAAAATGAGACGAGCCATGTACATTTTCATGTTTAACATTAAAACTATAAACATATTACCATTTTACTGAGGTAAAGCTATAACTATGCTCAGTGTTTTAGTTCAAATATTACAAATCTCTATATTTGTGGAAGTATAGCAGTCTTATTAAAATATATTTTAAACTTAAACTAAGTTATAACTAACAAGCACATATAGTCTACATTTCTACAATTTCTATTTTTTTCATTTTCTCCATTTCACCTTTTGAAAATAATTTTAATCTACGTCAATGGAAGCACAAGTGTTTACACATTTATTTCACTAACATTGATTTTTTTTTTACCCCATTTTGGCAAGCCAATGATTTTGAATTATGAATTTAAATTAAGGATTCACACAAGGTTTACATTCATAAGCCCTCGTTTTAAAATATAATCCTTTACGTTAAAATTCAGATTTAACTTGCTCAGCTCAATATCTTAAAGATTAGACTACCTTCTGCAATGTCTGCTCCAACATTTCTTTTCCATTCTTCTCTGGAGTACTCCTCTTGACCTCATCAACTTCACCAGATCTAAAGAGCTGTTCTGGTAGAGAGTAAATAATATATTATGATACCACATGTGCTGCTGAAATACTGTCCTGTCATTTTAAGGAAAAGCGTTCTATGGTTTTTCAATTGTGAATAATCTAGGGTATTTTCTTGTCAAGTATTTGACCAGTAACTAAACAATGACCCTTTTCAAGATTTTTAGTCACACAATTAAGTATCTTTGTAGTGTCACTTTTTTTTTTTTTTTGCAGTATAAGATTTTTCAAAAGTACAATAGATCTTCAGGTTAACAATGCTACACTTTTATTCCTATTTTCATTCTTTTGTAGACTATTCCCCCTTTGCCTTAAAAGCAGAATTCATTGCCTTTTTATCTACACAGTCACTACTAGTTTTGTTCTCTGGATCTTGTTCCCTGCCAGGAGGATCACAGTGATTGCTGAACAAAGCAAATAGTAACAGAATTAGGGTGGACTGAAATCGTAACACCCCCTACCACAACCTTTTTTTCAAGTGAAAGATCATGCACTGGGCAAGGTAAACCATACAAATAACTCTTCTAGAAATACTGTGACTTCATAACAAATAGAAAGCTAGGTATATGGGCGAGGTTATAGCTACAAATCATTCCTACACTAGCTATACATTTGACTACCAAAACCTTTTCAACCAAGCCAAAACCTACAAGTAACTTAACAACCTTAAAGAAAAAATGAAATAATAAAACTTCAGTTAATACTAAAACCAAAATATATCAAATCCTATAAATAACTTTTTTCTGCAATCTTTTACTTTGTATTCTTCTTTAGATAAATTACTATGACAAATTTTACTAACATTTTCTTAGTGAATTACTTTTGGAATATAACATTTCTTAAGGAATAAAAGGGGGACAAAAAAGAATATATAAAACTAAAAGGATATATATCTGTGTTAGCCTGAGATGATTTTGCTTTAAAGTATGCTTGGCTGCTGTAGGTCAGTACAAAATTTTGATTTCTCAACAAAGGAAAAAGAAAAGAATATTATTCTCTGTAGAGTAGAAATCCTCCTGGTATAAACAGTGACTAACAAGTTTGTTAGAGTGAATTAGGCATTTCTTTTGTCTTTGAAAAATGACATACCCAATTAAAACTTCTGTACTTATGAAATAAACAGAACACTATCCTAAGGATAATAAAAGCTAGGATAGGTAGAATTTGTCACCTGGGGAATAAGTACCTTTACCTTGATAATAATCTATCAGTTCCCAAGTTTCTTCTTCTAGTCCCCTAACACCATGGTGCTGAATTCATTTACAACAATCTTTCAGCAATATAGAAATAATATGCAAATACAATTCATCCTTTGTAGTCATTTAAATATCTGATATACTTCTGAGTGAAATATTTAATCTTAAAAATAATAGTTCTATATTCAAACAGCATGGGATGCCAACAATAGCTAAATACTTCCAATAAAATAAATGGTGAAGACTGATTTAAAAATGAATCTGTCTGCTGCTTATTTGCTCCTGGATGTGTGCAAGGTCCACTGGTGGATTGTCTAACCATGTTCACCTGTACTTATCTGCTGAAGTTTGTTTCTTCCCTTCACAGGTTTATACAGAACGCTCAAGAAGCTAAGCTCATGCCATGGAAAGAAATGAGGATCCAATTTTCTGGCCCTTGATTCTCTTTCTCTTCAAGGATCTCAGGATTTGGGAAATAAACCAAGAAGACCTAGTTAGAAATACACACTCCTATTTCTTTCCTATGGTAGACATGTGAGCATATGCTTCACTTTACTGGAGATTTAATTTCAATACTTTAGTTTTAAATGCTTTACATTCATTCTAATTTATATTCTTTCTCAGGAGTTCCTTCTCTCCATTTTTTCTTTTTTGCATTAACTTTTAATTTTGCTTACTCATAGTTATTTAAGCTTATTATATTCTATTTTCTACATTTTTTCTTTTAATCTTCTTGGCTTAAATAATATAAAGTTTTCTGCAATCTTTTACTTTGTATTCTTCTTTTAGACTCTTTCTTTTAATTAATTTAACAAATGATTTTAAAAATCTATTATCATTGTTTTTTCCCTGATCTTAATATGAAGCTTCGTACACAAACTTTCTTAAAGGTCTGTTTGTGATTATATCAATTTGAGAGATTTAGAAAGGAAAATAGTTATCAACTGATTGTATTGGCAATTTCCTAAAGAATACTGCTATTTTTATTTCACTTTTAGGAAAAGAAAATGAGATTCATAGTGGGTAGGTTTTACTTCAGAAGGTACTTGTGATACAATAAGAAACATATACAGTCGTTTCTGTTGCAGGGACCTTCCTGGGATACCTAAATCCAACCATGTTCACGTCCCTGATGTAGCATTTGCATATAACCTATGCACATCCTCCTGTATACTTTAAATAATCTCTATATTACTTAGAATAACTAATACAAAGTAAATGCTACATATTGTTATACCATATTGTTTAGAGAATAACAAGATAAGTCTATACATGTTCAATACAGATACAATTCTTTTTCAAATATTTTAGATCTGCAGTTGGCTGAATCCAGGGATGTGAAACCCATGGATACAGAGGGCGCACTGTATTTGGATTTTGTCCCCAATTCCTGAAACATAGTTTCAAAAACCTTTGGAATTTCTTGAGTAATAGGAGCATCCTTTGTTATTACAAGCAAAGCATAACAAGCTCCTTTCAACCATATCAGAGTTTATGCTTAATAAGATGATTCCTGGTGAGCCCCCTAGATAGGTTCAAGATGAGGACTGGCTGCAAGAGGAGGCAACCATGTGATTACATGGTTTTAACATCCAGCCCCACCACCAGGTCTCTGCAGAGGGAAGAGGAAATGGAGATTGAATTGAATCACCAACGGCCAATGATTGAATCAATGATGGCTACTTAATGGAAGCTTCATAAAAAACTCTATGGAGTTTGGAGAAACTCCAAGTTGGTAAACACATTGAGGTGCTGAAGATGGCATGCTCAGAAAGGACATGGAAGCTTCTTGTTCCTTCCTCCATACCATGAACTATGCAACTCTTCTATTTGGCTGTTTCTGAACAGTATCCTTTATAATAAACAAGCAACAGTAAATGGAAAACTTTTCTGAGCCATTCTAGCAAACTAACAAATCTGAGGAAGGACTCCTGGGAGCCCCCAATTTAAACTCGGTTGGTCAGAAATACAGGTAGAAATGTGGGACTTGTGATTGGGATCTAAAATGGGGGCAGTCTTGTGGGACAGAGTCCTTAATCTGTAGGGTCTGCACTAATTCTAAGTAGTTACAATTGAAGTGACTTGCCCAACTGGAGTTTGGAGAAGCAAAGAGTTGGTTGTTGGGTGGAAGAAAAAACCTGTATAATTGGTGTCAGAAGTGTTGTGAGTAAAAATAACTCTGAACACTGTTCCAGATAAGTGAATTGGGGATAAATAGGCAATAATCAGCAAGACCTGCCATGAAAAAGTTTTTGGTTTTTGTGTTAATTAAAAATCGTTGCCTTAGGCAAGATAAAGTCAGATCAGCCAAATATAATTAGAATCCATCTCCTCTGGAAGTAACCATAAGCCAGTGAAAACTCAACTCCCATTTCTGATGAATGAAATGGCAAGAAATATATCTTGTTTCTGATGAGTAGGAGAGAATTTCATTCATTTGATATGACTGTTATACTTGGCACCTCCTTCTGGAGACCTAGACCATCTCCTTTGAGTTTACCTGGGCAGGAGGCCTGGGAAGAATCTATTCAATCAGTAAAAGTTCAAAGACAAGTAGTCCATTTTTGTTATCAGCCACAAATATTCTAAAAAGGAAGTTACCAGGCCAATGTAAGTATCTTTTTCTAGGACGAGAGGTAGGAAAACAGAGGGATAAGTAGGTTTTGTGGTTTTTTTTTTTTTTTCATTTTATTTACTGTAAATTATACCCAATAAATAGGCTTCCTTGCCTTAAAAATAAAATGTCTTTAAGCTGGGGACTTGCTGGACTCGATCCTATTAGCTCACTGGATGAATCAGGGGAATTTGAACCTGCTGTCTTTAATTCCTCTAGCTAGCTTGAAAGCCATGTGTAACACCCCCTTTTTATTTTATGCTATTCCTTAAGCCTATACTTTTAAAATATTTTAGACTGTTTATTTTCTACTTCCGAGTGCTTCATTATATTTTAATTTCTATCTTCATATTTAAATGAATTAGTTTTGTGAAGTTTAACACTGTAATTGTGTTTCTGATTTCATATAAATTTCATGTTACAAGCTGGGCACGGTGGCTCACGTCTGTAATCCCAGCACTTTGGGAGGCCAAGGCAGGCGGATCATGAGGTCAGGAGATCGAGACCATCCTGGTTAACACGGTGAAACCCCGTCTCTACTGAAAACACAAAAGAATTAGCCAGGCATGGTGGCAGTCGCCTGTAGTCCCAGCTACTCGGGAGGCTGAGGCAGGAGAATGGTGTGAACCCGGGAGGCGGAGCTTGCAGTGGCCCGAGATCACCCCACAGCCCTCCAGCATGGGCGACAGAGCAAGACTCTGTCCCCCTACCCAAAAAGAAAACAAACAAAATTTCATGTTACAAATTACTTCTTGCAATTAACTTTTGTTTCAATTTACTTTAATATTTCCTTTATATTCTTAATACTCCTTTGGCTTGTTTTAAAAATAATTTTTTAATTTTAAAATTCCCATTATTTTTTAAGACAGGGTCCTGCTGTATCACCCAGGCTGGAGGGCAGTGACACGATCTCGGATCACTGTAACCTCCACCTCCAGGGCTCAAGTGATCCTCCAGCCTCAGTGCCCCAAGTAGCTGGGGGTACAGGTGTATACCACCACACCCAAGTTTTTTTTTTTTTTTTTTTTTTTCGGTAGAGACAGGGTTGCCCAGGCTGGTCTCAAATTCCTGGATTCAAACAATTCACCTGCCTCAACCTCTCAAAATCTTGGGATTACAGTGTGAGCCACCAGTGCCATGTTGGTAACAACTACAAAGAAGCATGACTTTAAGTGTAACAGAAGCAACC